GAATGAAAGCCCTGCTGTGAGGGAGAGAGAGTCAGAGCAGATGGCCCACCTCTGGCTTTTGAGGGATCAGGACTTGCCCTCCCACAGCCAGAAAGACAGAAAATGGAGTGTACTCAAGTTTGGGTATGGAAAATACCTCCAAATGCTGGGTAGTTTTCTGTGAGTGGGCTCCAGCAGTCTGGTCTGGCTAATATTCTGTTTCAGATTCCCTTAGGGGAGCCCCCCACCCAGAGGGAAGGAGGAGGCAGTCTGCTAGAATACTGCTTTGTAAGTTGCTTCTTTTCATTTTGTACTGGAGTTTCAGGAACTGCTTTAAATGTCCCTATCCTCAAGTCTACTTTGTACGCTCTTCATTACAGCTCAGTGTACCTTTCCGTTATAGCCTGGGAAACAGACAATTCCACCACACCCTCCCCCCTTACATTTATTTTAGATTTTCTCTTTTCCTAAAATGTAGTTGAACAATTTGCCAGACATATTCCAATGGAAATATGCTGCCAGGTATCCCCCTGCCCCTCCCCGACCCCCTAAATCCCTGATAAAGGAAAATGAAAATGTAAACTTTGGAAAGCCTGTACTTAGGGTTTGCTTCTAGAAGTATGCAAATGAGGCCCCCTGGCCAGCCAAGCCCTTCTTGCTAGAACCTCTCTGGCCTAGGTTTTGAGGGCAGGTACTTTGTGGCCCAGGGCAGAGCTTTCCTGGCATTTCCCTGGCACTGGCTGGCTGAGGGCTAAAAGAATAGAGTGGGAGACCGGCCCTCCAGTACTCTCTAAGGCACTAACCCCGACATCAGAGACACTGGCTGGAAGGGCGTCCAAGCAGGCAGGGCTCACATTGGTTTTGGTTGGGTTTTTTTTTTTTTTAATATTTTTTCGTAAGATGTTAATAATCAAAAGTAGAAAATAAAAATCTACATTTCATTAGAATAAGATGTTATCATGGATGCCATCTCCCATGATACTCTTTCCCCACCCTCCCCGAAGCAGGGCCCTGCCCTGTTATTTAAAATAAACAAACAAAAAAACTTTTGTAAGTGCCAAAGGTTGATGCATGAAATAATTATTTTTTTTTTCCATAAAAGTTATATACAAAATGGACCCCAACCAGTGAGGCCTCCTCATCTCAACCCTTATCAATCAAGATTAAAACTCAGTGCATGTGTGTGCTTCGTCCAGCGTCTGCAGGCTGCATCCGTGCCTTCAGGCTCTGTTAAGGAGAGTCGTCCTAAAGGTAAGCAGGGCACAGAGAAATGGTCAGGTGGGTGGCAGGCCCTTCCCCTGGGCAGGCAGGAGGCAGGCCACGCTATTTGGGGACGGCCTGGATTCAAAGATCCGGCCAAGAGGGGAAGGGTCAGCGACACTCAGACCCAAGTCCTCAGCCTCCCACCGACTGGCAGCCTGTGTAGAGACACCCCTGGCCGCCTTTCAGAAGGGCAGATCCATCACGCTCCCCAGTCCTCTCCCTTCCAGCAGACTTGGGCACGGGACTGATCTCGGGGGCTCACAGGCCCGTCCTGGGGGTTCTCCTACCTGAGAGTCTTCCAGCTATCCTTCTCCATGTGGTTTTCAGGACCTTCACTTTCAAAGGAGGCGATGAAGAGAGCTGAGAGAAGAAGCCCCTCAGAACCCACGTCCACATGCAGTCAGTCTGCCTACCACACCAGTTGTCCCTTCCTTTCTAGGGGTACAACTGGGCCTGGGAAGGGACAGTGACTTCTGGTCTGGGCCTGTCCACAGGTCTCTGCTCCCTGGGGTTCTAGAACTCACAACTTGGGGACTGAGAAGCTTCCTGGTTCTGCAACACTATCAGGGGGCTTCCAGAGCCCCATCTCTCCTTGTTCTCATCCTGTCACCTACCCCCAGCCCACCCTCACGTACTCAGCCCTGTGGGCTCAGCTTCCCCTGGGATCAGGCCTGCCTCCCAGGGCAACCCCCCAGGAGAGGAGAGGCCCTGGACATGGGGAGTCAGGGTGACATGTACAGTGTAGGGAGGTGGGTGTGCTGCCCTGGGGAGCCGGGCCTCACCTTCCTCGCTGTAGATGGGTGCCGTGAGCAGGTAGTTCTGAATCTTCTTGTCCTTCTCGAAGGGACACTCTACCTGAGTCCATGTCATGAACTCATGGATCTGTCTGGAGATTTCCCAAAATTTCTGAAGGCACAGAAGACCAACTGGATGTTCATTTGTCACCTTAAGCTTGAAATCCTTGGTTCGGGCAGGGGACGTAGGTTCCGGTTTCATTCTGTGCCCCAGCAAGATGGGACGGTGACCCTGCTCAGCTGACTTTGTGGCCACGGCAGCACTTTATGCAGCAACAGAGCCAGTAAGTGTCCCCAAGACCATTCGGTCCTGCACTTTGCCTAGGCCCGAGGCTGCAGCAGGGTCTGTGCCTCCCCCGTGCAAGACCCCAAGAGGGCCCCATCGGGGACTCCAGGCTGAGGCAGGTATGCCAGCCATACCCAGCACAGCACCACCAACCTGAACGTGTCATGATCTCATTCTCTGGGGAGCTGTAGGGGAAACGGGGCTATCCAGTACTTACCTCACACAGGTAAGGGGTAGAAAAGAGTTATGGATTCTTACACAGGCCCCCATAACCTTTGTCCTACCTTCCCACCGTTGGCCAGCTACCCTTGGTTTCCATCTGGAATTCTGCTGCCTCCTCCCTGCTCAAGTACCTTCTTGCCTAAAGCCTTCCTCACTCCCAAACCCCCAGAAGTAGCCCCTTCTCTGTCTCCCTGGTGGGGTCAGTGTTGGGGCCACCCTTATACTTCGCAAACAGCACACATAACCCACCCTGGAGCTTTCAGTCCTAAAGGCCTTTCTGCAAAGGGCCACTGCTTTTCAGCTCTAGCAGCACAGATTCTACCTGCCCTAGGATAAGGCTGAGAGGTCTGTTCTGCCCTGTGTTGGGACAGTCTGGCCCCCCTCCCCTCAGGCCACAAGGGTGCTGAGCTCACCTTAAAGTTAACATGCCCGTTGGGCAAGTGATTGGTATGGATTTTGTGCAGGAAGTAAATGTCCTTAACGAAAAGGTTGAATACAGGGATAACAATCTTCTCTCTGCTGCTGTTGGCCATCTGGGACCTTTGAGTGGCCCCCTGCAGGGCAGTGCGGTAGTTGCAGAAGTTGCTGGATGGGTCCATGTGGTGCTGTGGGCAGACAGGAGGACCTGGTTGGCTGTGTTCTCCCTGTACGCCTGAATTGTTCAGAATGCCCCTTCGCAGAGCAGGAAACAGCGATGGGGAAGGCATTTCCCTGCTGGGCAGCCCTGGACTGTCACCAGAAGAGGCCTCCTTTCTGGGAGTGAGCACCTGGCTGAGTACCGGGTTTGGATCCAAACATGAGGAAAGTTACAGAGAAGTCTCACAGCTCACACACACCTCTTCCCTGCCCTGCTGAGCCTGGGTCTCACTTCTTTCCTTTCAAAACCTTCCTTTGCCCTTCTACTTGGACTAATACCTCCCAAAATTGACGAGCTCCGTAGGACACATTTGCAGAAAGTGGATTCTGTGATCAAATACTTCAGGGAAGGCTGCAGGTGAACCTACCCACTCTTGGGCCACCTGGATGATCCAGGACCGCAGGAACTCAAGCCAGGAAAAGGACAGCCTCTGCTTCGTCAGCATCACCCAACACCCCAGCAACACCCTGGGACCCACTTTTGTCAAACTCTTGCCTAACCACTCTCTAGAACTTGCCTTAGGCAATGCCAGTTCTGCCTAAAGTTCCAAGGGCCGAGGAGAGCTTCAGCTACCCACCTCCTAGAGCAGCCAGGCCAGCTCAACATGCCCTACACCAGATGGCACTGTGGGCGGTGGGTTCTGAGCAAGGGGGCAGAGTGGATGAGGCCCACCCCTCCTCAGGCCAATGTAGGACATGGCTGAGGTGCTTACCTCCAAGACGTCAAACTTGGCCGTCTTGACTTTGGACCACGTTTTCTTCAGCCTCGCCACAGGACTGAGGTTCATGCCAGCTGCAGGGAACAGCAGGTGGAGTCAGGGTGGGGTTAGGTAGGCCATGCAGAAGCTGGATAGGAAGCCCCTGGGGCCTGGCCACTCACAGATGATGGCCATCATGGAGTTGAAATTCCCGATGTTGAAGCACTCCCGGGCCACATCAATAAAGAACTCTAGCATGCGGGTCCGGTGCTTCTTCTTCACCACCTGGAGAGCAGCCAAACAGCTTCAGGGTGAGCCCCCTACAGGAGTAACCCCCCAACCAGTCCCTGAAGGGCAGCTTAGACAGGAGCTACACTGGGCCCTCAGAGCTGTCAGACCCAGGGCTGGGGAGACGCTCATCGGCTGCAGAGGCAGGAAACGCAGCTGTAGCATTTTCGGTGCTGGGCAGAGGGGCAGGAGGGCAGTCTGAGAGTACTAAGGGAGTCCCAGATAAACTCACAGAACATGCCAGGTACACTCCATGGATGGGTGTCTCATAATTACTGTGAGATTGGCTGGAGGGTAGGGGGGAACAGGGATGTTGGTGCCCCAGCAATGGAGACTTCTGTCTCCACTTTCAAAGTTTTATCATCTCAGGGGTGTAGAAGTCAGAGCCTCAGGAAGCACTGTGATTACAGAGAAGGGACAGTGTCACCCCACCCATATGGGCCATGCAGCACTTACCCGGCACACCTCGGTGGCCACTAGCATGCTAAGGCAGTTGAACCAGTTGTCATAGGCCTCCAGGCTATAGGTCTTGGTCAGGTCCCCTCGGCACTGGGAGAAACACAACAGGTCACAGGGAACCTGAGGACCCTGCCAGCAGGTGCTGCCCCAGCCCTAACCCCAGAAATGAGCAGGAACCATGGCCAAAAGAGACTGAAAGTGATGGTGGGGTGTGGGCAGCTGACAGGTCCAGGTCTCCCAGGATGCCCCATCCCCAGGTTCCTGGGAACAGTGGCCCCCTTCCAGCATGCAGCACCCTGAATAGCTGTCTGCTGACCCCTTGGGGCAGGCACCAGGCCACACCCCTAACATTTGGTTGTAAGGCCCCCACCCTGCATAGGTATAGGTGCTAGGCCCACCCTAAGGCCACCACAGAGCACACAGCAGCCCCTCACCCGGTGCTTGTCCCGAGAGTCCATGTGGCTGACGATCTGCATCAGGTCCTCAGGGTGAATGCTGCTGACCCTCTCCTAGGATGGGCAAGGAGGTAGCACAGGAGGGGTGATGAACCTACCATTCTCCGGCAGGCCCCACACTCGGGGTATAGGCCATGTTTAGAGTAGCTGTGAAGACCTTTCTGCAGGGGTGCACTACAGGCCCTCCTTGATCAGAGCACCCAGCCAGTGGGCAGGCCCTGAAATGCACCCCAGGGGTCTGCAAGACCCCTCCCCTCCCAGGGCTTCATGGGATGAGGTGGAAGTCTTAGGGGCAGTGGCTCCTAGGTGCAGGGTACCTTCTCAGCCCAGGGCAGAGGCAAGATGAGGTGACAGGGCAGGGGAACAGGCCCTCCCCCTCTAAGCCTTTCACCTCCTGGGCCAGTCCCCATCACCCCAGCCCCTCCCCTATACATGGGGTTGCTGTGATCCCAGGGACCCAGGAGCCGACAAGTGAGCTTCACCTGACACCCCAGTCTGACCAGCAGGGGAGGCCCTGCAGCACTATGTTGAGAAAGATGCTGGGGGTCCAGCATTGGTGAGTGCACCCCCGCCCCCATGCCAGGCAGGGCACAATGAAACACTGACCAGCTCGATATGAGTCAGCTGCTGGGCCAGCACCAGGGGGTCGCAGCACACGCCCAGGATGTCCTTCTGAGTGGCTGGCGGCTTAGTCTTGAGGACAGACCCTTTGTCCATCGCCGGTGAACGAAGCTTGTCCCGCAGCTCCTGAAGCTGGCTCCAGGCAGCCAGCGACAGCAGCAGGCTCTGTGTCATTTGGGCAATGGCCTTCTTCACTGTGCCATTCTCCTGTGGAGGTCAGGAGACAACAAAGGTGCAGGTGTGGGCCGGCAAGGCCACCACCTCTCCAGAGAAACCCATTTCCTCTCCAGGGATGTGCCCGACTTTGAATGCACTTCCCTACTAAAACCTGCCATGAGTGTTTGGGCTTTTGAAGGTAGAATGGAACACAGTGTGGGCTTCTCTGAGTACCGTTGAGGAGGGTGGCTCAGCTGGCTGTCTTGTGGGGATGGGAACGGAGGGCCAGGGCAGGGCCAGGGGTAGTCTTCTGGGTCTGAAAACCATGGTTTTCCTAATGCTGTCCAGCTGAAATACTTTTGGCCTCCCCACAGCAGGGAGGAGAGCATCTAGAAGGGCTCCCTCCAGGACCAGGAACCTTTGCTCTCTGGGTGGGAGCAGCCCCCCGAACTCTCCCTGGGCTTTCTGAGCCCTCCAGCCAGATAGCAACTGCTGAGCACACAGAGCACTTTCATTGCGGAGACCCAGCCAGCCAGGTTTCCTGTCTCCACAGAAGGCCAGGAGGGAGCTGGGAGCCAGAGGTGTAGACAGGCTCTTAAAACCTCTTACTAGGTCCCCACTCCACTCACCCCAAGCCCAGGAAAGGTGGGGCCTGGGCTCATTCCAGCCCGTCACTCGGGACACAGGGTTTCCCACATGCAGAAGATGCCAAGGGCAAGTCTGGCCCATTGCTGGACAGCTGAGCAGTCTTGTGGGGAGGGGCACAAATGGAGCCATCCAGCAGTTGTCTTGGGAGGGTGACCGCATAGAGGACCACATACAGAGCTGTCCCTGAAGACCTATCCTCCTGTGAGAGTAGACCCCCCCCCCTTCCCCAGACACATACCTAAGGGGTTCTGCCAGGGTCTAAGGAAGACCTCACCTCATCACACTGCGTGACCCGGTGGGTAATGGCCTTCAGTTCAGCCATGGCCTTCTCATCCTGGAAGTCGTAGGGGAAGGCTTCTGTCCACTCCTTTAACAGCTGCACAATCTTGGCTGAGAAGGACTTCAGCTTGGTCTGGGGTGGCAGGGTGTAAAGTTACTCTCCAGAGTGGGCACAAGATGACCAGTGGTACAAGCCTCCCCATCTCCCCCAGGTCTGCAACACCCCCACCCCCATTATCCCTCATGGGACCTGCTCCCCAGCCCCATGCTGGGGCGAGGGTTCTAGAGAAGGACATCCCCACTCTGTCTACCTGTGGCTTTGTTGTACCTGCTTGGTTTCATATTCCCCCTTACGTCAGCATTCTTTTTCACTTAAATTTATTTTCAAAAAACTTGTCCTCTCATAACCATGACATAGAAAACTAGTTTCCTTTGCTGTAATTAGAAGTTAGCCATATAAATGACAACAACAAGGAAAACCAAGGAAAATTATTAAAAATCAGAGACTCTCAGGGCACCTGGGTGACTCAGTCGGTTGGGCATCCAACTCTTGATTTCTGCTCAAGTCATGATCTCATAGTGTGTGGGTTCAGGCCCCGCATCAGGCTCTACTGGCAGCGCGGAGCCTGCTTGGGGCTTTGTCTCCCTCTCTCTCTACTCCTCCCCCACTTGCCCTGTATATCTCTCTCTCAAAAACAAAAATAAAATTTTTTTTTTTTTTTTTTTTTAAGTGAGAGATTCTTGCCTGCCCCCTCTCAGTTAGCAACAGGTTGGCAAGTGCTGGGAAGGGGCGCAGACACTCAGAGGCATCCCTCTCCGGACCTCCTATCCTTAAAGACGGGCTGGGCACCCCTGCCGTCACCCTGGGTCCACACACCAGTAAGGCCTGAGAAGGATGTGCCAAATGCTTGGCCGCAGTATCCCAGCGGGTCTTCAGGGCCCAGCCCCACACTGTCCCACACACACACACACACGTGCCCACCACAGCTCCCCAGCACTGACCAGCTCCCTGCCTGCCTATACCTGCCCAACCTGGACTGTTCTAGCTGCCCTGTGGGCCTCTCACCACCCTCCACCCCCACTTCTTTTTGCCCACATCTGCCCCCACCCCTGCTGAGCTGCCTCCAACCTGCCTGATTCTGGCCATGTCCCCAGCTGGGCCCTCACTCCCTGCAGCCACTCCTCCTGGCCAGAGTCCAGTGCAGACGGCATCCAGGAGGCCTTGCTGATACTTCCCCAGAGGACCACACCCCACACTCAGCAGGAGCTAGAGCCTTGAAGCCCCTCAGAGGCCCTGCGGTGCATGTCACCATGAACACAGGCTGGCGGGTTCATGCCAGGCTCCTCTTAAGCTTCTGTCTCCATGCTGACCTTCAGCCTATAATTTCATCTCCCCAGCCACCCCACTTGGACTTATTTCCACCTGTCTCTTCAGGAGCCTTTCCTAACCCTCAGGCTGTGCTCAGTGCCTGTCTTCCTGCATCCAGGGACTCCAGGAGCGCATCCCCGCACCCCTCCAACAAGGAGACTCAGTTCACAGGCCTGGGCTGCACACCTGCAGGGGCAGGTGGCCTAGCCTGGTGGAGGGAAGGTAGAGGGGAAAGTCACCAGCAAACAGGGATGGGACATGCTCTGCCACAGCCCAGACTAGGCTCTGCCAGCTCTCTGATGGCACACCGACCACCTGGTCTTCTGCACCAGACCCTGGGCCTCATCTGAAGCACATGCCCCCAGGGACAGCCTATGGTTTCTTGACTATCCCGGCCGCCCAAAGCCTGGCTCAAGAAGAGACAGCAGGGGCAGAGAGCCCCATTTGAGTCACTGCAAACCACTCTGAGCAGGAGTCAGCCTGCGAGTGCTGCCACCTGACCCCCACCCCGGAGGGGTCAGTGACCCAGGTCCCACTGCCGGCTTTTCTACCAGCGGGGGGTCCCGGCACTGACCAGGATTGCTGGCAGAGCCGTCTGCCGTGGCTCTCTCCTGGAAAGGGGTGTGAGTGCCCACCAAGAGCAGTTACTTTCAGCATCCCATGAAGAGTAGTCGGCTCTGTGTGCACCCCATGCCGAATAGGGCGCCATGCCCCAGGCGCATGCACCCCATGCTGCTGTGCCAAGGAGGCCAGAGACCAGCCAATCTGCCCCATCAGGGAGGGCCCCCTGCTGGGCTCAGCCAGACCTGACCTGCTAGAAGCACGGAGACAGGCAGCACCCATCTGCTCCTTTACCTTCTCAGACCCGGTCTCCAGCTGCTGCCTCTGCTCCAGGCAGATCTGCCCCACGCGGGCCAGCAGGTCATGAGGGGGGATGAAGACCCGGGAGCTCAAGAGAAATGTAAAGATGTATGTCCTCTGAAGAAGAGACAGGGAGAGGGGATGAAGAGGAGGTCGGGCCTGTGCCACCCCGTCCAGCTATGGTCACAGCCTGTCTAGCCACCTGCCGGGCCCAACAGCACCATCCAGCAGCCATGCCTTCTCCTGCATGGTTTATTCCACCTTGAACGTCCTTCCTTTTCTCTCACTGCCACCCAAATTCCTGCCTCCCTTGCAAGGCACAGATCAAACCCCACTTCCCTGCAGCTCCTGGAGGCTTCCCCTGACAAGCTCAGCTCCCAGCAGTCTTGCTCTGCTGGGATTCTCCCCCACCCTCCGTCCTACCCTATGGTGGGAGCTAACACCCAAACCTGGATGTTGGTGGGACTCTCCCAGCCTGTGTGAGCCCATTGCCCAGCCCACAGTGCCTCCAGGGTCAGTCTCCAAGCCTTCTTATCCAGATCCTTACTGGTCTTGCCAATGGCGGGCAGAGTGGGGCATTTTTGGACCCATCACCCAGCGTCAGGGACTGTCACAAGCCCCTGTGCTAACAACCAGCTCTGGGCCTTATGTCCACCTGCTGTACCAGTGCCCCTCTGGCCCACATCCATGTGCCCTTGTCCCTGGGCTGTGTGGTACAGTTTCTGAAGGGCCCTCATGATCTGGACTAAAAGGTGTCAGGGAACAGGGCCCAGGGCCAAGGGTTCTCTGAGGCCTTTTGTCTGACATGGGTCAGCACCTGGGAGACCTTCACACTGGCTCCTGCCTGCAGACAGGTTGGACCTAGGAGTGGGGCAAGATGCTTGAAGCTCTCCTGGGGACTCTACCCCTACATGGGTGCTGCAGGCTGGGGGGCCTGGGACCCTTTGCCCTCACCCTGGGCCCAGGGACAGGTCTTCCTTGTTCCAGCCCAAAGCAAGTGGGCCATGTTTGCTGGGAAGCGCAGGCCTTGCAGATCAGGCCTCAAGGCCTCGGGCCCTCACTGCCCCCCTGCAGCCTTCAGATGCCACTTGAGGAGATCCTCCTGGGAACAGCAGGGGTTCCTCCAACCCCCAACAGACTTCCCATGCCCTGTCCCCAGGCTGTGTAGCATGGGTGCTCAGGGATCCCAGCTGCATGGTGGCCCCCTTCTAAACAGATGGCTCAGAAGTGTGATGAATGTCACCCAGGCATCACACCTTGGAGTTCCTAGCCAAGGCAAGAAGAGAAGCCAGGGAGGAGCTGTGCATTTCAAAGGAGCACAGAGACTTGCTGGTGTGTGTGTGCATCCCCAGCTGCCCACATACACAGTGGAGGGGGGCAGTGGGGGGAGGGAGGGAACCCAGGAGCTTGGCAGAAAAGCTGATGCCCAGCTGGACTCTGCCGGCCCTACCTCTGCACTACCACCCCTTTACTCTCTCCTGGAAAGCAGGGGGTGATCCCAGGGCATAGTGTCTGGGGGAGAACACTGGGTAACAGCTGAGGAGGCCCCTCGGGACACACCTAAAAGAGAAGTAGCTCCTCCCACAAGGCCACAGAACAGTTCTGGGGTTGGAGGTGCCAGCCCCTGGGAGGCTGATGCTCTGCCCTAGGCTTCTTCAGGAGACCTGACCCTCAGCTGCAGTGTCTGCACCACCAATTCCAGCCCCAGCCCAGCTTTGGGAGGGTTTTCAAGTAGCATGGAGTAGACAGCCCCAGGAGGAAGGTAGGAGGCCTGACGTGTTGGTGGGGGGTTGTGCCAGGAACACCCAGAAACTGAGTTGGCTCCAGCACCATTGGATAAAAGCTGGAGAGTGGATGGGGGCAATTCCTCCCCGACCCTCCCATGCAAGCCTGTGTCAGACGCCAAGGCCGGCAAGCACAGCTCTGTCCTCGGGAGGGAGGGGGCACCTGGAAGGGGACTGTTGCAGCCTGGCCCTCCAAAGGGAGCAGGCAGGCCCAAGACCACTGCTGCTAAGAGATGTGCCCTCTCAGAGGCAAAAGGGAAGCCACACATGACAAGGGAACTCTTTCTGCCTGTTCTAAGAACGTACCAGTGGCATCTTGAAATGAAGAGGGGGATCCGAATTGTAGCGGAAGGCCAGTCCTGCCCACGCAGGCATGTGCCGTGGGGTCTGCATGCTGGCTGGGCATGGCGGGGCTGTCCCTCTTTATTCTGGACCATGGCATTTCATGCATAAAACAAACTTCCCAGCTGGGTGGACCCTCACCAGGACCCCAAGGCTCCAGTCTTACTCCTTAGACTCTTCCCTAAGGCCCTGTTCAGAACTCTGACCCCTGTTCCATCCCTTGTGTATCTGCTTCCTTGTGCCACCAAGGCTATCTCCCAGCTGCCTGGGGTCAGCAGGGACGTCGCTGCAGATTCCTCTCCACTGCAGGGGCAGGAGGGCAGAGCAGGAGGTAGGGCTGAGACTCCCTGATGGCCTGCCTCTCCCATTGCTCTGTCCAGCTCTGTCTGGGCCTCCCTTCCCATCCCCGAAGCAGCTGCCCCTGGAACCTAGGTGACCCCGAACAGTCCCACCCATCTCCAGGCCCCAGGCACTTACATCCGGGTAATAGTCCACTGTGGGGACCAGGTGCTCCATCAAAGCTTCTAGGGACCCAGAGATGAGGCGTCCCTCTTGGAAGACGAGGTCCCCGGAGCTGCTGGCCCCACTTCCTCGCTCCCCCATGCCGGGCAGCACCTGTCCACTACAGCTGGGCCCAAGTATGCTGGAGAAGACGACGGACGTCTGGGGCATAGTTTCCTGGGAGAGAAGAAAGAGGCGTCACAGGCCTGGTCACCCGCAGCCTGAGTGCAGGTGCACAGTGAGAGCCCCAGCAGGGCCAGGAGGGGCACCCCACCCAAGGGTGGGCATTGAATGGCAGCTCAGATGGGCAGGCAGATTCCTCAGCAGCCCTACATTCACTGAGTGTCTGAGAAATATTTCTTGAACACCTGCTCCACGCATACCAGGCCTCATTCCTAGAACCTAGACACACAGAACCCTGCCTCCTGGGGTCACATCCCAGTGGAAGAAGAGAAACTATGGGAAAAACAATGCCCATAGGAGAAGGATCTGGAGCATTTCGGGGTGGTCACGGCAGCCTCAGGTAAGATGGTGTTAGTCATGCAGCTGCCCGGAATAAGAAAGGAACATTCTAGGTATAAGAGATAGCAGGTGCAAAGGTCCTGAGGCCAGTGTGTGTGGAGGGAAGGAGCAGGGAGAGTGGTCTGAGTAACAAGCCAGACCCTGCACAGTGTGGGCCAGGGGGCCATGTGCTATTCCTCTGAGACAGGAGGCATGGAAGCTCTGAGCACAAGAATGACTTGACTCAGGGTGAATGTCACTATTTCTACTATGCGGAGACCCAGGAAGGAAAGGATCGGCAAACCAATTGGTGGGTTTTGCCATAACCCAGGGAGGGATTGCTCAGGTCAGGGGGTAGCAGAGGAGGGGAGCAGGGTCAACTCCAAATGCTGCGAAAAATGGTCTCAGGCCTGAGTGATTGATCAGCACGGGAAAGGACGTGAGAGTGGGGTTTGGAGAAAGATCTGGAACTTCATTTTGACATGCTACATGTGAAGTGCCCATTAGATGCACATGTCAGACAGCAGTCTTGGGGGTGCTCAGTGGTCCCACAGTGGCCTGGCCTGGTATGGCCAGGAGGCTGAGGGTGCCCACCTCACCCCGCAGCAGAGCCTCTTAGTGGAAGTCCTCACGAGGTCTACAAGAGTCTGCAGCCCTCCTGGGCCTCAGTTTCCCCTTGCCCAGGGGGCGGCACCTGGGAGGTGCTGCGTGGGGATCAGAGTGAGGAGCGTTTGCCAGCCTGAGGCCTCCGAAGCTAATGCCCACGAGTCTACTCTCCCTCCTGCCGGCCAGAGTAGCCTGCCCTGCTAGCTTGACCAGCCTCATCCTCTCCCCACTTAGAGGGCAGGCTAGGCTGGAGTAGAGCAGGGCCTTCCTGCGCCCTCTCCCACGTCGGGAGAGCACTGGTGAGCAGGCACCACCACCCCAGCACCTCCATCCCCAGGCCACCACGCTGCCCTGCCTCCCAGGGGCGGAGGCTACCTCCTCGTGCTTAGGGGCCTGGGAAGTGCACACACTCTCCTTGGGCTCCCGCAGCCCTGAGCACTCACCTTGCTCCTGCTGCTGTGCTGCTCCCAGCCCTAGCCTGCTTTCTGCCTCAACCTGGGGCAAGCTTCTGAGCCACTGTGGCCTCAGTTTCCCCGCTGTGCAGAGCAAACAGTAGCCGTGATTATTTCACTGCCATGAGAGGGGCAGTGAGGTGTCTACACAAGCAGATCTGACTTCCAGGCCACAGCACATCAGCCGTGCTTCGCGTGAGAGAAAAGGGGCACTCGGCCCAAACGACCTGGCTTCCCTGCCACACACACACCTGAAGGTTGCCTTGGAATTCTCACAAAAATCCTTCGCAAGGAGAGTAAGAACTCAAGGAAAGCCCCCGAGGTTGAGGTGTCCGTGGTCCCCAGGCTCAGCTGCCTCACTTGGGGATGGGGTTTCAGACTCACAGAACACTCTCCTCAACACGTTAGAATGCAGATTCTCAGGCCCTGCCAAGTCAGAAACTCAGGGACGGCCCTTGATCTGTACCTTGACAAGCTGTCTGAGGGGTTTCTGAGGCTGCTCGAGTCAGAGAGCTACTGACTTGGTTAAACCCTTCATTTTTCAGATAATGAAATAGTGGGAAGAACTCAACTGAGGAAATCCTAAGAGTCCCAAGTGCAGCCAAGGTGTCACCACCTCCAGGAAGCCTCCCTGGGTTAATCCCTAGACTGCTGACTGCAGGACTGATCATTTGCTTTCGTGCTCTCCTGCCTAGCCAGAACCCAGCCCATTAACCATTTGTGGGATAGAATGACAATGGTGGGCTCCCCAGCAATCCTTATCAAAATAACACCAGCATTCTTCACAGAGCTAGAACAAACAATCCTAAAATTTGTATGGAACCAGAAAAGACCCCAAATAGCCAAAGCAATCTTGAAAAAGAAAACCAAAGCTGGAGGCATCACAATTCCAGACTTCAAGCTGTATTGCAAAGCTGTCATCATCAAGACAGTATGGTACTGGCACAAAAACAGACACTCAGATCAAAGGAACAGAATAGAAAGCCCGGAAATGGACCCACAAACATATGGCCAACTAACCTTTGACAAAGCAGGAAAGAATCTCCAATGGCACAAAGACAGTCTCTTCAGCGAACGGTGCTGGGAAAACTGGACAGCGATGCAGAAAGATGAACCTGGACCACTTTCTTACACCATACATGAAAATAAATTCAAAATGGGTGAAAGACCTAAATGTAAGACAGGAAACCATCAAAATCCTAGAGGAGAAAGCAGGCAAAAACCTCTTTGACCTTGACCGCAGCAACTTCTTACTCGACACGTTTCTGGAGGCAAGGGAAACAAAAGCAAAAATGAACTATTGGGACCTCATCAAAATTAAAAGCTTCTGCACAGGAAAGGAAACAATCAGCAAAACTAAAAGACAACGAATGGAATGGAAGAAGATATTTGCAAACAATATATCAGATAAAGGGTTAGTATCCAAAATCTATAAAGAACTTACCAAACTCAACACCCAAAAAACAAATAATCCAGTGAAGAAATCAGCAAAAGACATGAATAGACATTTCTCCAAAGAAGACATCCAGATGGCCAACCAACACATGAAAAAATGCTCAACATCACTCATCATCAGGGAAATACAAATCAATACCACAAAGAGATACCACCTCACACCAGTCAGAATGGCTAACATTAACAACTCAGGCAACAGCAGATGTTGGTGAGGATGTGGAGAAAGAGGATCTCTTTTGCACTGCTGGTGGGAATGCAAACTGGGGCAGCCACTCTGGAAAATAGTATGGAGGTTCCTCAAAAAACTAAAAATAGAACTACCCTACAGCCCAGCAATTGCACTACTAGGCATTTATCCACGGGATACAGGTGTGCTGTTTCGAAGGGACACATGCACCCCCATGTTTATAGCAGCACTATCCACAATAGCCAAAGTATGGAAAGAGCCCAACTGTCCATCGATGGATGAATGGATAAAGAAGATGGGGTATATATATATATATATATATATATATATACACGATGGAGTATTACTTGGCAATCCAAAAGAATGAAATCTTGTCATCTGCAACTATGTGGATGGAACTAGAGGGTATTAGAGCAAAATTAGAGAAAGACAAATATATGACTGCACTCACATGAGGACTCTAAGATACAAAACAGACGAACATAAGGAAAGGGAATATAATAATATAATATAAAAACAGGGAGGGGGACACAACATAAGAGACTCTTAAATATGGAGAACAAACAGAGGGTTCCTGGAGGGGTTATGGGAGGCGGGATGGGCTCAATGGGTAAGGGGCATTAAGGAAGCTACACCTGAAATCACTGTTGCACTATAGGCTAACTTGGATGTAAATTTAAAAATAAATAATTAAAAAAAATTTTAAGTATATTTTCAAAGCACAATTTTGCTACAAAACATGAAAAAAAAAAAAGTGGGCTCCCCAGGCACCCTGACACCCTCAGCTGCTCTTCTGTGCCATTGCTGGCTCCCAAGGGGACCTAAGTGCCAATCCTTCACCTGAGGCCCATGCACTACGGGGGGTCTTCCCTAAGATCACACAGTTCCGGGTTCAAAAGGTGACCCAACGATGGTAACCTTGGTGAGTTGGGCCCCAAGATTCTTGGTCACAGAGATGGCGTTTTCCTAAGCCGCCAGCCCCTCCCATCTCGGGGGCAGCAGGGGCTCCGGTCAGGAGGGGCTATGGGCAGGCATGCTCAAATACTCCACTAACTCTCACGGCCGGTGCCAGATCCCACACAAAGCAAGGCCACCCTGTGTCCAACCTGCAGGGAGACCCACCCCAGTGCTAGGGAGGCTGCCTCGAGCCAGCCTGGGGACTCAGCACCACCCCCTGCTGCCCAAGACGGACCAGCAAGCCAAGGAGGCCAGGGTGCTGAGCTCTGTGCTGGACAGCAGTCCACAGCTGCACCCTGGGGAGCCTCAGCACTCACTGTCACTATGGACAGGTAAGGGACAGAAGTTCAGGGTGGTCACCTGCCCCGGAAGGGTGGGGCCCAGTCCATGTGTCCCAGGCAGCCGCTGGACTGTGCTTCCCCCCGACCCTGGCCAGCCCAGGAATTATCAAACCGTTACTCCCCCAGGGCTCCCTGCCCTCATGGGGGCCTCAGTCCTCCAGTGACTGCATCCCACCCACGTCCCGCCCATCACAGCCCAGAAGGCCACAGGAAGGAGCAGCCAGGAGGGGCCCATCTCTTCTGCTTGGGGTGGTGGCCCTTCCTGCAGCATCTGGGCTGAGGACCCCATAACTGGACTCCCCAACTGCACAAGATCCCATATTGCTCACTTTCCAATGACATCAATATAAGTGTACGTAAATGCACAGAAACACGTGGCCGTCCATGACCACACTAGTTACAGAGTTTACTGCAAGGGAGCCGGACAAGGAGGAGACTTCTACTTTCCTTCTACACATTTGTAAACTATTTGGTAACTTTTCTAAATGGCACATCTATTTTGTCAGTGTTAAAGTAACTTTGTTTTTCAGTACGAAGAGGCTGAGTTTTGAGATCAGCAGTTTTTATAAAGGCATGTTAAAGAGGCTGGGCCTGCGAATGGAAGCGGTCACTGCCGCGGGGCACCTTCCAGGCAGGGCCCACAAGGGCTGCGTGGGATGGCCCCAGCGCCTGCCCTGCCCTGGGACCCAC